GAGTGTGTATGCATGTCTGTTACTGGCTGTGTGTGTCTGTTAGTGTGTGTGAGTGTGTTAGTATGTGTGTCTGTTAGTGAGTGTGTTAGTGTGTGTGTGTGTGTGTCTGTTAGAGAGTGTGTTAGTGTGTGTGTGTGTGTGTGTGTGTGTCTGGTAGTGTGTATGCATGTCTGTTAGTGAGTGTGTGTCTGTTAGTGAGAGTGTTAGTTAGTTAGTGAGAGTGTGTGTGTCTGTTAGTGTGTGTGTGTTAGTGTGTGTCTGTCAGTGACTGTATGTGTCTGTTAATGAGCGTGTGTGTGTCTGTTAGTGAGAGTGTGTATGTTGTCTGTTAGTGAGTGTGTATGTGCGTCTGTCAGTGAATGGGTGTGTCTGACACTGAGTGTATATGTGTCTGTCAGTGAGTGTATATGTTTATTTAGAAGGTGGGGTGGGGGGTGCCTTAGTTTTGTCATGCCTAGGGCAGCACAAAACCAGGATACACCACTGAATGTATGGCCTTGTTATAGACACACAGGGTGACACACACAGGTTTAAATGGCAATTAAAGGTTAATTTCCCACACCTGTGGCTTTTTAAAATTGCAATTAGTGTCTGTGTATAAATAGTCAATGAGTTTGTTAGCTCTCACGTAGATGCACTGAGCAAGCTACATACTGAGCCATGGGGAGCAGAAAAGAACTGTCAAAAAAGACCTGCGTACCAAGGTAATGGAACTTTATAAAGATGGAAAAGATATCCACAGCCTTGAAAATGCCAGTCAGTATTGTTCAATCACTTATTAAGAAGTGGAAAATTCGAGAATCTCTTTATACCAAGCCAAGGTCAAGTAGACAAAGAAAGATTTCAGCCACAACTGCCAGAGGAATTGTTCGGGATACAAAGTAAAACCCACAGGTAACTTCAGGAGAAATACAGGCTGCTCTGGAAAAAGACGGTGTGGTTGTTTCAAGGAGCACAATATGACGATACCTGAACAAAAATGAGCTGCATGATTGAGTTGACAGAAAGAAGCCTTTACTGTGCCAATGCCACAAAAAAGCCAGGTTACAATATGCCCGACAACACTTTGACACGCCCCTGGCACACTGTAATTTGAAGTGACGAGAACAAAGTAGAGTTTTATGTTCACAACCATAAGCGCTATGTTTATAGAGGAGCCAACAAGGCCTATAGTGAAAAGAATACCATTTCCCACAGTGAAGCATGGTGGTGGCTCACTGATGTTGTGGAGTGTGTGAGCTCAAAAGGTATGGGGAATCTTGTGAAAATTGATGGCAAGATGAATGCAACATGGTATCAGACAATTTGCATTCTTCTGCACAAAGGCAGCACATGGGACACTCTTGGACTTTCCAGCATGACAATGACCCTAAGCACAAGGCCAAGTTGACCCTCCGGTGGTTACAGCAGTAAAAGGTGA